GATATCCTATTTGCCAGCATCCCCAACATTTCCATATACTCATCACCTAGCACAAAGAAGCACTTAAGAGTGTTTCTTGAATGAGCTGAACGAATAGAATTATTTAGGAAAGGGAAAATTCTTTAGGAAAAACTTAAACTTAGGAATAAAATCTATTCCAACTCAGTCTTGCCCTAAACTGCAGAAGAATAATGTATCAGCCAAAATGTAAGCATCGTATCCTTGAAATTCTACTCAGTAGACAAAGTATGGACAACATCCGAAGTCTATGGCTGCTTGTTAATAAGCTCATTCCCTACTACACCGCTCACCGTGCAGCGGATTCACTCTGTTTACAGATAGAAAGAAGTTTCCTTGGGGAAGACGTTCTGACTTACCAGGCTAAACCACCACTTGGGACCCCCCATGTCAGTATCAGAGTGCCTGGTTTGAGTCCCAGCTACTCAACTTCCAATCCAGCTTCCTAATACATTCTGGTAGGCAGCAAATGATGGCTCAAGGGCTTGGGTCCCAGTCACCCACACAGGAGAATTAAATTTCTAGTTCCTGACTTCAAGTCTGGCCAGCCCTCTATATTGCTGGCATTTGAGGAATGAAGAATGAACCAGTGAATGGAAGATTCATATTCTCTCCCCCACTCCGCTACTTGAGGAATGCACAAGTCAGTAGAAAGAAAATCTATGTTCATTCATATTCTCTCCCCCTCCTTTCTCTACCTTTCAAGCTTATGAATAAATAAACATTAGAAAAAAAAAAAAACTTTTCAGTAGGACACTGCACAGCCTCATCCTTAAAAAGCTTAAGTCCAGGGGCCAGCTCTGTGGTGTAGTGGGTGAGGCTGCCGCCTGCAGTGCTGGCATCCCCTATGGGCACCAGTTTGAGTCTCAGCTGCTGCACTCCCTCTAAAGTGCCTGGGAAAGCAGCAGAAGATGGCCCAAGTCCTTGGGCCCCTGCACCCATGTCAGAGACGCAGGGGAAGCTCCTGGCTTCGGCCCAGCTCAGGTTGTTGCAGCCATTTAGGGAGTAAACCAGCGGATAGAAAATATCTCTTTCTGTGTCTGCTTTTCTGTAACTCTGACTTTCAAATAAACTAATTTAAAAAAAAAAAAAAAAGCTAACGCTTACTGGTGGGCATTTGCCTACCTGTTAAAACACTAATCTCCCACATTGTGAAGTACCTGAGTTCCATTCCCAGCCATAGCTCCGATTCCAGCTTCCTGCCAATGCAGACGCTAGGAGGCAGCAGTGACAGCTCGAGTAATTGGGTTCCTGACACTCACATGGGAGGCCTGGATTGCATTCCAGGTTTCTGCCCCAGCCCAGCCTTGGCTCTTAAGGGCATCTGGGAAATAAACCAACAGATGGGAATTTGTTTTCTTTCTCTCTGCCTCTCACATAAACATACAAGTAATATTTTTTAAATCCCAAATCTGCATTCAAGACATCTGCTTTTACTTCAGGTCTATCCTTAATTGTTGTAAAAAGGCTTTTTCTTCACTCTATAGTTCTCCATTCACCTATTAATTTATACCCTTGCTTGTCCCAAAAGAATTCAAGGTGATTTGCATACATACACATGTAATAAGATAAAAGGTATTTTAATAAACAGATGAGAAAAAGCAGACTGTGACAAAATGGTTAATATAGGACAATAAGAAGCAAAGTTTAAGGGCAATATTAGAAAATCATTTTGAAAGAGCCTATGTATCTGTTAGAGTTGGCTCATCTGTTTGGAACTAAGCTTTCTTTCAACAGTTAAGACTTGGCCAAATGAAATGCATACAAAATGTAGACAACATAGTTTCAGGACAAGCACAACCATCCAGAGTATGGAGAGAAGATATTTCTTTCAGGGTTCCTCACAAAGGGAATACTTTAAAAAAGAAAGAAACATAAATAATGTCAATGATCAGTACAGCTGACAATTAGTGCTTACTTGGGTGCAAGTCACTATCCTAACACTTTGGCATTTTCACTCACTTAATAAGCCTGTGCGTAACTCATTGAATAATCCTGTTGCTACCTGCACACAGCAGATAAGGAGACTGAAGAATAGAATGGTTAAGTCAACTGCTCAAAGTCACACAGCGAGTAAGCTATGGATTTATGATTCAAACCCTGAAGTAATGCCCTCTACAACATCCTCATATTAGAGTGTTTCTTATGATGTGCGTCATTGCAGGCTAAGAGAAAAACACAAACTTTAGTTCAGAAGCACAAAGAACACCAAGGCCAAAATGAGGCAGTGCGGGCACGGGGCCCTCTGAGCAACGGGCAGGTATCTGAGATAGTTAGATTCTCGGGAAGAATGGGTGGCCTCAAGCCCATCCTTCCATAGGTTCGGTAGGTACTGAGAGGCTGAGGTGAGATTATGCCCTCTGAGGGCAAGTGAGGTATAGTCTTCACTTGCTGACAGCTAAGGCAGAGCCATAAGCTGGCATCACCACCTGAACCAGAGTTAGGACAGACACCCTCCCAGTCAAGGCTGAAGACCCTGACAAGGACCCTCAAATGCCCGGAGATAAGACCAGCCTACCTTTGCATGGAGGTGACCAAGGGAGTGCCAGTGGGCAGGCTCCCTTAAGAAAGGGTTTAGGCTGCTCAAACCAAAGGACAATAAGGTCCTCAAATGCTCACACCATGGAATAGCTCCCAACAGAGGTAGTCTGGATAGGCTATCCAAAGAAAACCATGATCAGTTGTCAATCATGGGCACAGCTAATCTATGGAGCATTCAGTCTTGATCACGTAACTTACTGGTTGTAGGTCCAGGACAAAAAGGTTGGAAAGTCTCACTCTAGAGAGCTCAGTGGTCAGCAGGTAGGAGGGATTATTAGAGATAAGCCAGTGGTTGTTTGGGTGAAGCTAACCAAAAAACAGACACACTTTGGATTTAGAATAATTATAACCCATCTTCTCAATAATTTCTCCAAGTGTAAGTTCAGAACAATAAAATCGATCATTAATTTAACACTTACTATAAGCCAGGCATTGTTCAAGCTGCTATGAGCAGAAATAAAACAGAGGAATACCTCGGTCATCATGAATCGTATACTGTGAAGAACAGCCTAAGGAATACTACAAACTTTAATTACTACACTTAAGCCATTGTTCTGAGTTAAAGACATCAGGTGGAGCCACTTATTACCAAGAAACTACAGGGGGAATAGGGAGAGGGTGTATGGGGTGTGTTGCAGGGTTAAACTGGGTTTGTGGCAGCTTCCCCAAGGAAGGGATCTGAGCACAGACCTGGAGAAGGCCAGGCAATGACCTGTGCAATGCCTGCGTGGGGGTCTCGGGGACAGGGACGGGCAAGGCAGCCTGTGTGGCCAGAGCAGATGAGCAATAAGGGGAAGGGGAAAGAAGCGGCAGGTGGAGGGGAGGAAGCAGGCAGTGGTGGGCATCACTAGGGCTGGAGGCCACTGTAGGCATTCTACATTTGACCCTGACACACCAAAGGGTTCTGGGCACGGCAGTGGCACGGCCTGACTTTCCTTTCCTAAGGACAGCTCTGTCTGCTGCATGGAGAGGAAACCATGGGAACAAGGGCAGAAGCAGAGACGGGCTGGGAAAGAGAGGGTGCATCCCTCCACCCAGCAGCACCTTTGCACACGCACGTCCAGCCTGCTGGAACGGAGGAGTGTCACGAGCGCCGAGCCGCTGCATAGGAGCGCGGTTTCAGAGCTTAGACAAAGCCCCCAGCATGTCACCACTCCCTTGTGCAGTAACAGAAAAACAGGAAGGGTCTCCTAAAGCCAAGTTAACGAAAGGGAAGTCAGTCTGGCCTGAGGGAGCAGGTGCTGTGGCTTGGGAGGGGCACTGCCATCACTGGCTCAAGTAGCTTCTAGACTGTCAGGATACAGGGATGCTAATGGGTAGAGACTGCAGCAAGCTAGCCCTTCCAATCTCAGATGCCAGCTACTTTCCAAAGCATATTACAAAATACACCAGAGCTTAAAATATTTAACAGTTAAAGAGCACCGCTTAAATTCCACACCACGTATAACACTGACTTCCAAAACACATCTGATGCCTTAAATGATGCTCTCTCCTCCTCCCAGGTACTACTGTGAGTGTCATGGTACAGAAGCTACTCTGCAAAATGCATCCTCTACCCAGGCCCCTGCCAGGCCAGGACAACCAGCTCTGATCCTGAGCTGCATATGGCATGCCAACACCCCCGCCTCCGTCAGACGGCAGCCTCGCAAGCAGCAGAGGTCTCAGCGTCTGTGCACGCCTCGCCCTCCCCGGCAGCTGCCGGCAAGACTCACACATGCAAACTCACACATGTACCGTCTCCACTCACTCTGACAAAAGCTGTGACAGGAACAGAAGGAAAAATGGCAAGGCGTCCTGGTGAGAAGGCCATCAAGAGGCACACCCATCTGTGACTTGACACCTCCTTGTGCCTCTTTACAGGGAGGAGAGGACACAGAAGGGTTGTGTCAAACTCAGCTTCCTTGCACCTGCAACACCCTTCACCCAAAAGCACTATACATAGCTGGATTAAAACTATAAAATATTTGTCTCATATCCATTACAGTTTTCTTTCATGCTCCCTGTAAATTTCTCCCCTGAATCGTAAGTCTGACCACAAGCCATTAGTAGGAAAAAGCTAGCCAAGGAAAAAACTCAGATGTAAGGGACTGAATAATTCACCACCACTGGGAGAGACTCACATATATAATACCCTAAATACTCACTTCGCCAAGTATTATTCTACAGCAAGAACACAGACACTCAGGAAGCTACCTTAGGAAACTATGCTGTAATAAAATATCCTATTCCGGCTCCTCTTTACATATGTATTTAGCTTTAATACATGGCATTCTCAGACACACAAACAGGTACCTCATAATTTTAATTTAACACCACTTATCATTCATACACACAGATTTCACATACAAGCATGCTGAAATACATACATGTATTTGCTTTACAAGAAAAGACCAGTTTATTCTAACAGCATTCAACTACTTGTTAAACAAGACAGCATTTACCAGGCAGGCGGAGATCAATAGTTCTGAATCTTCTTTTGTCCAGTTGCATGCTGTATATTCAAGGACATTATTCTCTCCTTGCTGTTTGCACATATAAGCACAGTTTCTTTCAAAAACGGTGCGGATGCCTTTAAACAGAATCACACTAGTAGTGCAACCCATCCCCAAGGTGTGGATGCTCAGATGTCTAGCAATTCCTACTCCGTTTCTGCATCATCTTCCTTGGCTCTTCAGACACAAGCACCCACTGTACCATCTTCATGACAAGCAGTTACCGGTACCGGCAGAGGGGAGCTCCAAGCTGCCGCACTAGAATCCGCTCCTGCCCAACAGCCTGACAAAAAAAATCCAAGCTCCAAGTGTCACACAGGAGGGGTGGGTGGTGCAAAACCAGGATGACACACCTCAGATGCACCAAGACCTTTAAGTATCATTTTCCCAGTGGATTGCTTCACTGTTAATACAAAGAACAAATATGCAGAAGATGTACACAGGGTTACTGGAAGGCTGCCGGCTCCTGTGATTTGCTCGGGATTGTTCTGAATCTCAGAACCTGCCCAAAATGAAAAAGACTGTGCCAGACAGCCACACTGCTGCAGATGCTGCTGGAAGGCACAAAGAATGCTCATCTGCTGCGAGAAGTCACTCTCCCAGAATGCTCAGCCCAGCATCTACATCAGCAAACATCTCTTCCCTTGACCTAAATATGCCGTTTGTTTAATCCTGCATCAGCAAAGAACGGAGAAGCAAAAGAAAAAAAGTCCAAAAATGAGTGAAACCGCTAAGATGACTGCTGCTATGGAAACATGTGGCAGTGTGCTTCAGACAACCTTTTGCATGTATAGGTAACAGCTTGCTGACAGCAAATCACAGGGGAATTCAACATTACTACGTTGATCTTGACTTCTGCCCACCTCCACTCTGCTGCAGAGGGCTAGCAAAGTTTGCACTGCTCAAAAGGATTATCCTGCCTCTGGTACCCAAAAATGCAAATGAGAACACAGATAAAAGGTACCTAGTCTGTCTGGACATATGCCTGCTGAAGCAGAGCTCCCACAGGCAATGGTAAAAATAAAAGTCTCACAGTCAACATGGTCATTATATTGGTGCATAAGTAGTTCAGGTCCTTCTCTGCAGATTGAACTCAGTGGCACTGTGAATCTCAGGGAATGGCCAAGAGGGAAGCATGTTCTAAAAAAAATGAAAGGCTGACTATATAAAAAGACCATGAGGCACAGACAAGGAAAATTCTTCCCACGTATAACATGCATCCAGAAAAAAGTTAATTCTCCTAAGATCTGCTCTGATACTATCTCTTATTTCACAAGACAACAGTGATAGATTTTCCAGTGATAGATTTCAACGCCAGCATCCCATATGGGTGTCAGTCCCTGTCCCAGCTCCCTACTAACAGCCTGGGAAAGCAGCAAAAGATGGCCCAAGCGTTCCTGGTTTGGGCCTGACCCAGCCCTGGCCCTTGTGAGCATTTGGGGATTGGACCAGTGGACATAAAATCTCTCTCACTCTCCCTCTCTCACTCTCTCTCCTTCCTTCCCTCCCTCCGCCTCTTAAATAAATAAATGTAAACAAAATTTTTAAAAAAATTATTGCAATCCTGGTGGTGTAACAGAAATCTATGTAACAGTGCAGACCTGTAGAGAACACTACCCGGTAGTAAGATCCAAAAACTTGTTTCCCATGGCCTTTTAGCTGCTGTGCCAACAGAGAAGCAAAAATCTAGGCTTATTCTCACTACTGCATTCTTATGTGAAGTGCATCTGATCTCCACATGAGATCAAAGAAGTGGAGATACTGGCCACCTGCACCAGAGAGAGTGATGCTAGGAAGTTTACAGCATTCTATTTCCAAATGGTGATTCTGGTAAAACAGAGCTACAGGGTGTCAGGTTAGACGCAAGTTCTGAAATCAGAAAACCCAAGTCTTCACGTAATATTGCAATACAAGCATATTCACAACATGAATACTCATCTGTACAGAAACTAAATGCTGAAGACTACAAAATGCTAAACATATGAGTTAAGTCTGTTTTGAGCATTCAGAATATCTACCAATTAACCAAACACGTGTACTGCAACAGGAGCACCTTAAAAAGCAACAGGACAGTCAGTATACGTTGAGTATCCCTTATCTAAAATGCTTAGGACTAGAAGTGTTTGAAGTTCCAAATTTGATACATACAGATTTTGGGGAAGTCTAAACACAAAAGTCATTTATATTTCATATACACTTTAGACACGTGGCCTGCAGGTAATATTTTTAGTAAATTTGTACATGAAATAAAATTTTATGTTATAGAATTTTCCACTTGAACTGTCATGTTGGTACTCAAAAAGTTTCAGATTTCAGGGTGGGCACTGGTCCAGCGCTGAAGCCACCAGTTAGGATAGGTACATCTCGAAGCAGAGTGCCTGGTTCAAGTCCCTGCTCTGGCTCCCAATTCCAGCTTCCTGTTAGTAAGTACCCCAAGAGGCAACAGTGATGGCTCAGGCAGTTGGGTCCCTGCCATCTGTGTAGGAGACCTGAATTGAGTTCTTATTCCCAATTTCAGCCTGGCCCAGTCCCAGCCTTTGCAAGAATTTGGTGAGTGAACCAGCAGATGGAAGCTCTATCAGAATGTCTCTGTCTCTGTCTCTCAAATAAAAAAAGAAGATTCAGATTTTTGAGTATTTCAGATATTTTATTTTCAGATTAGGGATGCTTAACTTACACAAATTAAGATGTAACATAGAAATTTAAAATGAGAGGCTCGCATTGTGGTATAACAGGTTAAGCCACGGCCTGTGACACCAGCAGCCCATATGGGCACTGCTTGGAGTCCCCTGCTCCACTTCCGATCCAGCTCTCTGCTAATATGTCTGGGAGAACAGAGGAAGATGGCTCAAGTGCTTGGGTCCCTGTACCCACATGGGAGACCTGGATGAAGCTCCTGGCTCCTGGTGTCAGTCTGGCCCAGTCTCAGTCGCTGTGGCCATTTGGTGAGTGAATCAGCAGATGGAAGATCTCTCTCCCTCTCTCTCTTCTTCTTTCCCTCTTCATCTGTCTCTCTTTCTCTCTCTGCAACTAACTTTGACTTTCAAAAATAAATTAAAAAATAAATATTTTTAATTTTAAATTTAAAATTAATTTATTCTTATTATTACTTATTTATCCCAGATGCAGAAGCCAGGGAACAGCATTTGAAAAACTAAGATTACATTTGAACTTTACAAAGGGTTACAAATTATAACCATGCAAATTTGAAGCTGCTTTCATATTCTATTTGTTTTTAAAACCTCAAGTTAGTGTTGACAACAAGAGTCTTCAATGTACTCATCATGTTCAAAAATAAAGGGTAACTGAGCTGATAGATGTGTTAAATAATTTGATTGGGGCAATCATTCATAATACAAAATCATTACATTGTTCACATTAAATTTATAGAAATGTGTCGCCATACCTCAATAAGGATAAAAAAAATTAAACAATGATGATGAATGAAAAAAATTCCTAACAATCACTGAGGAAATGTTTCCTAGAGATACATTAGTAACATTTAAGCAGCTTGTATTGATTTTAAATATGAATCATTTCCCAACCAATAAAATCAATGGCCAAGAAAAAGCAACAGAAAATACTGAGAGCAAAGGACTTAACAAGGCTAAAAACTGAGTTCATGCTAACAGATGCACGACAAAACAAATAAGGCAAAGTGTGCAATCACTGATTTGGTTTCACTGATTCTTCTACATCACAATGAACTAGGATGTATCTAAAAGAATGACTATGCAATTCATTACAGAACACGAACAAATGGGTGGTATCTATTAGCAACCAGTGCCACTACCTAAAGAGTATACCTTTCAATTTGGAGATTACATTTGATATCACATCTTTAAATGTCAGCTCCGATTTATACAACTCCCAAGGCTGGATGTCTGTCTTCCACTCCAGGCCCATCTCTTCTTCTCCTGCTAATACTCACACCCGACTTTCTCAGTATTATCTCATCCCTAGATGTTCCAAATCAATAATCTTTTAATGTGACAAATTTATACAGCATATCTGCACATGGAACATCTAGCCATAAAGACACAAAGTGCCAATGCATGCTATAACATGAATGAACCCAAAACATGTTATGCTAAGTCAAAGAAAACAGTCACAAAGACCCCACATTGTATGACTGCATTTAAACAAGATGTCCAGAATAGGCAGATCCATACATATAGAAAGTAAACAGTGCTTACCTAGTGCTGGGAGAGAAGGGAAAACAGGGCAGTTTAGCTAAAGGCATGAGGTTTCTTTGCGAAGTAAAGGAAATATTAGGAAATGGGCAGTGTTTCTAACATAAAAGCTACCTACATATACTACTGTCTGTGACACTACTAGAAAGCACTGAACTGAACGTTACACAGGTGACTGTCATAGCATGTGAATGGAATGTAATAAAGAACCTGACTCCAGCCTAGATATTTGAGGCTGACTGTCCCATGTCTAGGCAAGCTCAGGAGAAAGTCTAGGTGGCTCCCTCTTTTGGCAGCAGCAGGAAATTCAAGTCACTTGTAGGAACCGTGCCCCTAAACTCCCCACCCATCAAGGGAGCTGTCTTGCTCTTCCCAGAAAGCCTCATTATTGGAGGGCATGGGGGTGATGTCATTAATCTCAACATCTAAAGCTACTTTTGGGTGTGTGGGAGAGGGGGCACATTTCCTGTTTCTGTAGAGAGTACCAACAGTGAATTATATCTCAATAAAGTCATTACTAAAAATAGGGGAAGGGAGAAGAATGACACCTACTCTATTCACCCCACTGGTTATCAAGGCCAAATAAGAAGACGCGAGTACTCAACCAAGAAATTGCTATAAACACATAAGCACCTGTTGTTATAGACTTCACAAAGAATTTACTGTGTGACTTAAAACAACTACCTTGCTTAACGAATTTAGCAACTTGTAAATGCTTTTGACCCTACTTCTCAGGAATACATGAGAGGTGGCTAGGGCTGCCCTCAGGGTGTGCGTGTTGGACCTGCAAAGGGGCTCCGTGCCATGCAAACCGTCACAAAGTCTGCACGAACAGCAAGTTCAAGGTAAGATCTGCTGGCCCACTCGGCAGTGCAGACAGACAACAAACCTCAGCCACAAAACCAGAGACCACAGCAAATAGGCCCCAAGCTTGGAGCTTCCTCAAGGATTATCCATTTGGAGCTGCTGCTCCCATCTGCAGCTCTCTCCTTGCCAACTGTCTTTCTGTTTTAAATGTCTTCTAAAAGTCAAACTAGTTTGTTTGGTAGATGTACTTAGTACTCTCAGGAAAAAAATGTGAATAAGGAGGTTTCTAAATGACACCTAAAAAACATAAAATTACAAACTGGAATACCGTATTTCAAACAGATACAAATGTTCTCTACAGGTCAGAACTTGGGTCTACCTGTAGGAAGCCAGGAAAGGAGCAGAGTTCCCTCCCTTCTTCAGTGGCTGAAATGAAGCTCGCACACAGTGATAATGCATCGTACATGATACAGCTACACCTCACAAAACCTAAGCAAATGGAATATGAGTAGAAATCAATCAAAATGTCATTCAGTCTATTTAGACACCAAGAGCTTATTTCTATCCCAACACTCTACATTTCACATACCAATGCAGTGAATGCTGCCGAGCAAAGAAGCTACGTAAGCTGGCCTCTCACGGCTCTAGTCATTTTATACGCAATCAATATAATCAAATGGAAGGAGAGTTCAGGCACAGGTCCTACTATATACCACAAGCTGAACAGACAGGTCTCTCTTCCCCTATTAGGCAAAATTAAAAATTTTTTCTTTCCTAATATTCATACAAAAGCTGAAATAATTCCTCTGAAAATACAAGTATCTCTCATTTCTCTTCAAAGACATAAGAATTTCAGATATAAGAAACTAA